TTTTTAACTATATAAAAAAATCTTATAAATATTAATTCATTCAAAATAGAATATATATTTTAATATAATTTTGATGTTTAATTTGTTAATACAAAAGAGCGTAGTAGAAGGGCGGTACTCTGGAAGAACTCTCAGCGTCAAGTGGTGGCCAGGCAGAAGTCCGAGTCTCATGTTACAGTCTGATATAATTTCGAGCCTCAAGTGGTGGTCCAGCATAACTCAAGGCGTCAGGTGGTGTCCTGGTGGAGCTCGAGGCCTCAAGTGGTGGTCCGGAGGAGCAACGTCGTTCTTTCGACCTATGTCACCAGACAACGGTCTTTCAGACCCCAGTCTTCTGCCGACTACGGTACTTCCGACCTCGGTCCTCTACTATGGTCCTTCCGACATCCATCACCAGACAACGGTCTATCGGATCCCAGTCTCTTGCCGACTATGGTCCTTCTGACCTCCGCCGCCTACTATGGTCCTTCCGACCTCCATCATGAGACAACTGTCTTTTTATCCTCGGTCTCCTGCTGACTACGGTCATTATGACCTCGGTCACCTACTATGGTCCTTCTGACCTCCATCACCATACAATACTCTTTGACCCCGGCCTCCTGCTATCTATGATCATTTCGACCTCAGTCGCCAACTATGGTCCTTCCGACCTCCATCACCATACAATACTCTTTGACCCCAGCCTCCTGCTGACTATGATCATTTCGACCTCCGTCGCCAACTATGGTCCTTCCGACCTCCATCACTAGACAACGGTCTTTCTGACCCTGATCTCCTGTCGACTACGGTCCTTTTGACCTCCATCGCCTACTATGGTCATTCTGACCTCTATCATCAGACAACGGTCTTTTTGACCCCGGTCTCCTGTCGACTACAGTCATTCCGAGCTCGGTCGCCTACTATGGTCCTTCTGACCTCCATCATCAGACAACGATCTTTCTGATCCCAGTCTCCTGCTGACTACGGTCTTTCCGAACTCCGTCGTCTATTATGATCCTTCCGACCTCCATCACCAGACAATGGTCTTTCATACCTTTATCCTATCGACTATGGTCGTGCCGACCAAACAAAGACATCTATGTTGATTATTGTAACTCCCACCATGTAATGCGCTCTATATGATGTACATTTGTGACATTAAGCCAAGGCCTTCTCCTAAGGAATGACCTTATTTGTAATCAACTGCAAATTAAGACTAGTGGATTCATTCAAATTGGGCAAGCCCCATGGTTTTTTCCCCTTTTTCAGGGGTTTTCACGTAAAAAATATGGTGTCTCTTACGCTACACACACACTCTCTCTCTCTCTTATCTGCTTGTGTGCTGGATCTTCGTATAATGCTAAGACGTTAAATTATATATTTCTCTACCGCTACGAATATTCTAGGACGCAACAAGTTTGCATGTCAATTCTCATTCTTTTTAATGCTTAAAGTGTTATTTGTAAGATATTAATGCTTCATTTGTGTTATCTTTTTTATTATTATTTTTTTAAAATTTTAGTATAAAAATTTTAATTAAATAAAACGGATGCTTCGAATAGGAATCGAAGAGAAAAGAGCCTGGAAATTTCTGCCGAAGAGTTCTCCTTCGGTTTTGGTTTCTTCGTGGTTGGGAGATTTTGGTCGGGGGGCTTTTGGGGGCTGAGAAACTTATTCTGATATGGACGTCGATATACCTTCGTCGCCTGGAAAGTTTAAGTCGGAGAAACCCCACCACCATTACCTGCGCCTTCTCCTTCGATGGCACTATTCTTCTCTCCACAAGTTTCTGTGCTGGACTATTGTTGCAGCCATTGTCCTCTTCGTTCTTTTCCTGGCTTCCCCTAATTTGTCCTCCTCATCCCCCGCTTCGTTGCATTCTTCCTCGATCACCGAACGCCGCTCCCTCCGTACCTCTTCTTCCTCCCCCGCTTGGGGTGATCCTGCTTGGGAGAAGCGTGTGCGAGACTCCGCGCGCATCCGGCGACGCCCATTTGGCATTTCCGTTCTTGTCACAGGCGCCGCTGGCTTCATCGGCTCGCATGCCACCAACGCCCTCAAGCGCCGCGGTGACGGCGTGGTCGGCCTAGATAACTTCAACGACTACTACGATCCCTCACTGAAGCGTGCCCGTCAGGCTCTGCTTTCCCACTCGGGCGTCTTCGTGGTCGAGGGCGACATCAACGATGGCCCTCTTCTTCGCAAGCTCTTCGACCTCGTTGCTTTCACACACGTCCTCCACCTCGCGGCCCAGGCTGGCGTCCGCTACGCCATGAAGAATCCCGGGTCGTACATCCACAGCAACGTAGCCGGCCTCGTCTCCGTTCTCGAAGCCGCGCGCTCCGCCAACCCTCAGCCGGCGATTGTCTGGGCTTCTTCCTCGTCCGTGTACGGCCTCAACACTGAAGTTCCCTTCTCGGAGTCCCATCGAACCGATAGCCCGGCATCCCTGTATGCCGCTACAAAGAAGGCCGGTGAGGAGATCGCTCATGTATACAATCACATATATGGTCTCTCCATTACCAGCCTCCGGTTCTTTACCGTGTACGGACCTTGGGGCCGCCCCGACATGGCCTGCTTCTTCTTCACAAGGGATATTCTTGCTGGCAAGACCATCAGCATATTCCAAGGTCCTGACGACGCCACAGTCGCCCGAGATTTCACTTACATTGACGACATTGTGCAGGGCTCCCTTGCATCTCTGGACACAGCCCAGAAGAGCACGGGTAGCGGCGGCACAAAGCAGGGACCTGCCCAGCTCCGTGTCTTCAACCTCGGCAACACATCCCCCGTATCGGTTGTTGAGCTTGTCTCCATCCTTGAGCGCCATCTCAAGGTGAAGGCCAAGCGTAAGTTTGTTAAGATGCCAAGGAACGGAGACGTGCTCTTCACCCATGCAAACGTTAGCTTGGCGAAAAAGGAACTCGGCTACCATCCCAACACAAACCTTCAGACGGGGCTGAAGAGGTTCGTGAAATGGTACCTAGAATACTACGCTCCTCCTTCTGGATCATATTTGACGAAGAAGGGAAGAGGCGGCGGCAGTAGCTCTAGCTGAGTGGCGAAACTGGACTGGTCAGAATTGTTTTGCTAGAAATTTTCCTTTTTTCTGCACTTTGATTATGGTGTTATCGAATTCGTTTTTTTTTTCCTCTCCATTTTAAATGATGGATTAGTCTTATGTTTCTTCTGGTTTAGTTGGCTGCTTCCACATTTCCGAATTATTATAATTAATTGATAGAAGAGGAGGGCTCTGAGGTGAGGAGACTGGGACTCTGGTGGATAAGTATAGAATGGTGGGGTTTGAATTGGTGGTGTGCGTTGTTTAAAGGGCATTGTTATTTTGTCAACCTTCAGTATATAAGGAAGCATTTATTTCTTTCTGTTGATCTTTTTTCTTTTTTGTATATTTAATAGCAAACCAAGAATCTTCGTCACAGTGCGTTTCTTTTGTCTTTTTTTTTTTTTGTATTATATTTATCTCTAAACGAGTAATGAGAACTCGTTAGTTTTCAGATTGTTCTGTTTTTATCAGACTATGCTCCAACAGAGAAGTGGAGCAGTTACTTTGGGCTTATTGATCTCTCCCGTTTGAGGAAGATTAAGTTCTTGTTGGTTAGTCATTATGTCCTATTGTTTGATTTTTGAGCAAGCTCTCATTATTTGTTTTATCTGTTGAGATGATTTTTTTATCTATCTTCAATGTGCTTATTTGCTATGAGAGAGGTGTAGTGTAATACTTGAGATAATGTTGTCAAAAGCCTTAGTACCCCTTAAGCTGTTATGGTTGCCCAAAGCCTGAGGCACTGGTTGCCATTTTTGGAGTTTACCTAACTGAATTTATGCTTAAAAAATTAATGGTTATTTCACTTAAAAACTTACTTCTATTATGAGGAATTTTTTGAGGGGTGTAAAATAAAAATTGTTGTATTAACAACATTGGTATAGTATTAAACTTTTCATGTGGTGTAACATTTCAACTTACAACATGTTTCATAATAGATTATTATAAATTAAAAATCTAATTGACATGCTTAAATAGGTTAAATAGTGCAATAATTAAGTTACAAGCATGTATACTTTAGGAATAATCAAATACTCATTACTATCTATTCCATTCTTGTCATCATCCATACTTTTTTCTTCATCGCCAAATTTCTGGCCTTCCATTTCTTCCCCATTCTATTCAAACTCATCATCTTCTTTCCTAAGTGTTACTAATTCTAAAACTTGAAGCTCTAGTATCTAAATTTTATTTAACTTGTTTCTGATGTTGCATCCATGTCTCTCCCTCTCTTGATTACTATCTTAAAAATAAAGTTGAATTACATCAATATTTAAACAAATTTCAATAATAGCTTGAGAACTATGATTTGTGAAACCAACATTTTCTTTTCTATAGAAATGCTTTTTTAAGTATAAAATAGTTATATGTACTTTCATGTGCTCTTAAGCAGAAGTCGCATACGTTTCTTACCTTTTCTATGCTGTTTTAATGTTAATGCTAGTTCGGAACTCAATGGGTTTGTTATCAGGAAGAAGATTCGTACATGAAATGTTCAGTATGATGTATATGATGTATGTGGATGTGCTAGTGGCTCTCCAGAACCCAAATGTATCTAAGGCCTCATTTGAGATGGCTTAATATTACCTTTTTCATTTCAAAATGACATAATTTCTTCTTTTTGAATGTGACGCATGCTTTTTCGGAAACTCCATTTCTTTACTGTTTTGAGAAGCGTTATGGTAGTAGTTTCTCTGTTTAAAACCTCCATTTCTTTGATTGATGTTTTTGAAACGGAAAAGATAAAGAAATCAAACGAAGACTGTTTAGTGGTCTGCAAGCTGGTATTTGGGTGCTTTGCATCGCAACAATTCTCAGCTTAGTTAATGCAACACACCAACAAACCAGCTAAGCATAGCTTAGTTGCTGCACTCTCAGTTGTGATGTGAAATTTGTGGCTGTAGAACGTTAGAACTCACCTAGTTACAAAATGACGCATATTCGGTACTTCACTTTTCGCCTTTGTTTGCTGTTGTTGTTGTTTTTCCTTGGAGAAATGAGAAGTGATGGCTTGCTTTTAAGAATGTTTGAGGCATTCGATCGCTGGCTTCCTTCTTCAGCCTTTTGGTTTGTTTGGTTGATTCACTTTTCTCAGTTTTTTAAAGTAGAAATTTAAGCGATTATTCTTTACTGTTCTTTTCTTCTGATTTTCTTCCAATCTGCTCCTTTCTTTTAACAGTAGCAACAGTTTAAATTCAATCAAGCCCCAACAACTTCACCAACACTAGCTCAAAAAGAACATCCTCTTCATGTCTAATCTGTGGCAAACTTCAATGCTACTGCCTTGGCCTTTTTTTCTTGCACAAATGAGCTGCAGTTCTTATATTTTTCTAAGACCGAATGAACCCCTGTGGCATGTTTTTGGTTTTGGCTACTTCAGTTCTCTTTGTGGGTTTTCTTGGATTTGGGCAATGTGCTCTCGTTCTACAATTTTTTTTTTTTCAATTTGTACATTGTTCATGAACATGTATCATTTATTGAAAATATGATAATTATGCGTTTGATTTTTGAGAAATTATTTTGTGCAGACACTGAACGCCATCCAGAGATCAATCAGAATGCACCACGTCACCTCTTGCTTGATACCCGGCTCGGTACTGCTCGGTACCGCTCGACACCTGGCTCGGTATTACTGACGTGACTCATTCTGATTGGTCTCCGGACGGTAAACTGCGTTCGGCGGCCGCACAAAATAGTTTCTCCTGATTTTTTTAGATTGTGAATCTGTAATAATTGTTGGCTGAATGTATTCTTCATGTTAGGTTTATTGTCGACATCTTACTTTTTAAAGTTAGTTAATGCATTAAAGTTATATATATATATATATTTGTTGGCTTAACTCAATTTGTTAATCTCAGATTTATTTATTTAGGTTTGGTTTGGGATTGTTTTCTCATTACTTTTTTAAAATAGTTTTTTAGTACAAAAAATATTTTTGTACTAAAAAGTTGTTTTAAGAAACAGTAAGAAAGTTGTTCCAAATGAAGTCTTACACGATGCAAATTTTTGTTTAGATTTTTATTATGTTAGTATTTATATTATATGTATTATTTTATCTGTTGATATTTTGGTGGTTAATTTGCTTATGCTGGGCATTATGAAAGTAAAAATAACTACTTTATGAATCATAATGTGTATGTTCTTGTAGACAGCCACTCCCCTTTCATGGCCGAACCTTCCAGAGAGTCTGAATTGTAACAAATTCCTTCATGTTACAGAAGATGAAAGACGAACACAAAATGATTCTTTGAACAACAATCATTATCAGATATCCTTTCAAAGCTTGTTGAGGTCTATATTAATTCATGTATGTGACAAAGTGCTACATGATGGGAACCACCATTTGAACTTGTATGGCGCCATCTCTAGAATCCTATATGCTTGATGTATGATTCTTGGATAAAGATGCGCGCTGACAAGGACATCAATTACTTAAGTGGGAGAGATTGTGAAACTCATTAAGTAAAAAAAATTAAACTGTTAAATATCGATGTCTTTTGATGTAATTGCCAGATTTTTTATAAGAAACTCCATAGTTAAGTGTGCTCATCCTCGAGCAATTCTGGGATGTGTGGCCTAATAGGAAGTTACATCAATAAGACAAAATCGTATGGCTCTTAGGCCAAAACGGCCAATGTCTCAATAATTAAGAGTTTGAATTGTCACAAAATATATCCTAATCTGAATTTTCTCGTTAAGCCTTTTGAGAGTAATGAAGAGTTTGCCTTCGCAAGGGAAATGATACCTTTGCAGTTGATCAACAAAGAGAATATGTGGTTATGCGCCCTTCTGATCTCACATCATGATGGCTTATTTTTGTTGTAATCTGTTGGAGGGATAAATACTACAACAAACATAAGTTTTTATCTCATTATATGGGGATGATTACATGTATAATTTTTCTCCGTTGTGTTCTATTAAGAGTCAAATTCTCATTTAAAGTTAATAAATTTTTTTTCTAATTAAGTCTGTTTAGGTCTACCTCTATATTTCTAAACATATATCAGATTTAATACATCTACTCTCCTAATAAGAACATTGGAAGGCCGATATTTTAAGTGACCAAATCATGTAAGATGGCTATCTCTAATCATATCTACGACTGGAGCTACTCTTAACTTTTTTTACGTATATACTCATTTTACTTTCTATCTTAAAGTATAAAGTCATTCATCCGTCAGTCATGCACATGAGCATCCTCACTTAAGGGTGGAGGGATAAATATGGAAGTATAATCTTAAAGCTTGAGATATGTTTGTTGACTTTATAATTTTTATGAATATGATTGTAATTATCATTATTAAATATCATTAGAAAATACATTAATATCTAAATATGATATACTTTAAGTACTTTTGAATCTATTATACAAAATAATAAAAGATATAAATAAGAAAATGTAATTCGAGAAGTGTTTGGGAAGTATTATGCGATGAGATAAATTTATAATCAACTTTGTTATGTGGATTTGTTAGTGAATGGTAAAGAAGTCATTGACAGATAAAATTGATTATTGTGTGAGGATGTTAAGATTGATATGTGACAAAATAGTGAATCATAGATTCAAACAATCAAAAGACTTTTATAATCACAATAAAATGAAAATAAATACTCAATGGCATCTCCTCGCCTCTATCTCTTTAGGCCCAAAGATCTCTCTCTCTCTCTCTCTCTCTCTCTCTCTCTCTCTCTCTCTCTCTCTCTCTTCATATTATATAATCATGTTATTAAAATCAATCTTCTATACATAATCACAACATTATATTAGTGTCGAAGCATATTTCTGTTTAGGATTTGTTTGAGATAATTTTCTTACTGCTTTGTTTTTCAAACCAGAACTGTAATTTATATTTGATCATTACTATTTCTCTGTTTTCAAAAAGATTTTATACTAGGAAATTTCTTCCTATAATAACTTCAAAATGTTACTTTTTCTATAATAGTTTTACAAAATATTTAAAAAGTTATCCCATATGAAACCTTAAGCTATTTTAAGAAAAAAATTCCACCAAAAATCATTCTTTCTTTTTCAAGAATTTCATCACACAATTTTTTTCAATATATTCTTATTTTATTTTATTTTTTTGAATGAAACTAATGATGATTTCCACATGTTGGACTTCTATATAAGACCAGTTGCACAAATTTTTATAATGTTTTATGATATCAAATTCTCTTCTAAGATTTTGTTTGTGACGGCTTCTTTATTGCTTTTTAAAACAGCTTTTTAATAAAAAAAATAAATTTGTTATATTAGAAAGTTGTTTTAAGAAGTAGTGAGAAAGTCATCCCATCCCAAACAAAACCTAAATTTGATGAGTTTCACTTGCAGTGAAAAAAACAATAAAAGAAATTAAGAAGATTGATACTAATGAAACAGCAAATTCAAATACATGCTAAAGTCTCCTTGATACGGCATAATATTTGATTTTCTCGTCTTCTTTTTTATTTATAGCCATACCACATAATATTTATATATTTCTATATCTAATATCTAACTTTTTGGACATTTGAGTCATTAAGGTAAACTCATACATACACATCACATATGTAAGCATATAACTCAAAATCTCTTGATTATTAGTCAAAATCCCCAACCAACAGGCTAAAATGAGCTGGGTTATATTCTCAATATAACGCGCAAAAAAATGAAAGAAGATGATTTGTATTATCCATGAAATGACATTCAATTTGAGATGGTGGAAGATGAGGCATATGATTAGTACATTCCACAATAGAAAATCTCGCTTATGATATCTATAATTTTCTTTATTAATATGACTAATGGTTTTTCATTTTACTTGAACATCTTTATCACTCAAATTTTCTTTTTGATTCATTTGCAAATCTTTGAATTATTGCATGGTTATAGATACACTTACATCTTGATACGGCATCACAAAATTAGCTTGATCGGGCACGAATCTCGAAGGGGGTTTTCCACGTAAAAAACTCTGGTGTCTCTTATGAATGCTACACCCCCTCTCTTATCTGCTTGTGTGCTGGATCTTCGTACAATGCTAAGACGTTAAACCATATATTTCTCTACCGCCGCGAATACTCCAGGACGCAACACATCTACTTATAACTCCAAAGAAAAAGTTGACTAAGGCTTCGTTTGGGATGGCTTTCTTCCTGTTTCTTAAAACAGCTTTCTAGTACAAAAATTTAAAAATTTGTACTAAAAAGCCGCTTTAAGAAGCAGTAAAAAAAACGTCTCAAACGAAGCCCAAATCTAACTTTAGGACATATCTCTGCATACTTGTTGAAGTTAAAATACAACCAATCCAAAACATTATGAGTAATATTATTGTCACTTTCTTAGATGGCTCATTCTTATTATCATATTATCCTACTCCAATATCTTTGTATTTTAGGACTTCCTTGTTGGTCAAAGTTGTGGGTTGGGGGAAGGTGAAATGGGTATGAGAGTATAGATTTTGGTTATTTTTTGTTTATAAATACTAAATATGATTGATTCTTATTTTTATATTAAAATTTGGAATTAATAATACCTTTGATTGTTAATATGACTTAATTTTAAACCCTATTTATATTTCACTTTGGATAGCTTTTTTATTACTTTTTAAAACAGTTTTTTAATACAAAAAAATTTTGAACTTAATATTTGTGTACAGAAAAATTATTTTGGAAAGCAATAAGAAAGCTGTCCCAAACAAAGCCTTAATAATAGTATAGCTATTGATTCAATTGAGATTTAAGCTTCGTTTGGGAATATTTTTTTACTGCTTTTTAAAGCAGCTTTTTAGTATAAATTTTTAATTTTTATAAGAAAAAATTACTTTAAGAAGTATTAAGAAGGTTGACCCAAAAGAAGCCCTAATTGATGCTTATTTTTTACCACCATACATTTTTGACTCTTTATGTCATTGTTGAGCAAGTTTAAAAGTTGGTAACTTATAATATATTTTAATATAATTGAATGGACTCTTTGTGTATAATATTTAAATTATTATTAAAAAAAAACTATTAGTCGATGTAAAAAAATTCATATAATACGGGAATTATTAAAATATGTGAGATTAATAAAGGTCTAAAGCAAAGTGATTAACCCTCACTGATATACTTAAGACTTTTGGATTAAATTGAATTTCATCTGCCCAAAATTAAACAGTGTTGCTTCGCACACTTCCCGAGCACAATCAAAATAGGCGTCGCGAAGCATTTTTAATATACATTCTGAACGAAACTAATGAGTCTGCACAATCATTAGCCAGTAATGTTTGGCAACGCTTCTGCTGCCCGATTTCATATTACACTATAGGAGGACCAAATTATTTGAGTTCGAGCGGGAGAAAAAAAAATCAAAACTCCATAATCAGATCAGATTCTAAGGCATATCTATATACATGATTTTAAATTTTTAAACAAATAATTTGTAACAATTCTAACACTGATATATATGTGAGATTTCTTTATAATTATTATACTTAATCCAATACATTTTTATATTTGATAAAATTCGAATGTTTAGAATGATAACATGCTAATTTATAGGAAATTCAAAAATGCCTTCCTCTAAACATAGAATATAAAATTATCAAATAAATTAAAATTTACAATTTACATTCATACCATACAATCTTTATATATTTATATATCCACCCCTTGTATTTCTATTTGTATAAACAATCATATCTCTAAAATAAATTAAAAATTTCACTAACATTCATTTATGTAAAATAGAGCACTCTTTTTTATAAATAGACTTTAATATTATTTAAACTCAAGTTATTAACTCCATTAACACGTAGTAAGCACACAAATATAGGTAAAATTCATATGTAAGATTGGATGAAACATTCCATGGAATAAACCCAACAGAAAGTAATTCAAAAACACAGAGCTTGATAAAGTAGTTATGATGGGATGAAGCCTCTAAAGAGTAAGCTTCTCAGGCCTTCAAAATGTATGGTCAAGTTTGAGATCCAGTCCTCGATACCTCTATCTGATCTGATGTGGATGGAAGAACTTCAACGTTGATAACCCTCGAAGACCGGCCACTTTGATTGTTGCTGCGCCCTGCAAAAAACATACAGAAAAGTTTTAGGACGTAGCCGAACCATAATTATATTCCTTCAGCCAGATAAATTGACAAAAGAAGCAGCCAAACCATAATTATTAACCATCAACCAAATAGACACTGCCTCTCTTTAAATGGGCTCTTAACTATGAATTTAAAGCATGTAACATATAAGTCATGTTTGATTATTTATATTAACCGAGGTTGTTTCCAGCAAAAGAGTCATCATATAAATATGCTACATTCTTGTCCAATTTTGCAAAAGCAGAATATGCATTTCTTTGAGTGTTGCAAGGTTAATGATGAGTAGTGCATGGCATGGATGTCTGACGAGCGTGCATATTATGCCTCTTCGCATTTGTGTTGTCCAAATTATGCATGTCTGTAGAGCATGGGCAGGAGAATGTGAGGTTCATTAATACCTGCGTGAGAAAATTCAATCCAACTACATCGAGAATATTATTAAGTATCCTTAGAGGAGTCTCCGTGATCCACCTTATGTATGAGTGCGTACAGCCATATGATTAACGATACATTGGGCACTTCATCCCTCACCCCGTTGCGTAAAGCTTAAAAAAAATGAAATTATTTGAAGAACAAATAAAGAGGAATTAATCAGGTTTCTTGCACCATCAATTCTACGTCGAACATATTATTAGTATTCATGTAGAAAACTCATGCCAATGCTATGCTTCTGTTTCACAAGTGAATAGGATGACATATTGGATTATCAATTCCAATGTTAGGTTCCATCACTCAATCCCTTGTGCAAAGCTTATAAAAAATTAAAAAACTAACGGAAGTTCCGGAACATATGACAAAGTGGGTATTCATCAGGTCTCTAGCAACTCATCATCCCAAAGTTAAGGTCTAAGATTATGACGAAATAGAGAACTAAAGGAATTACTAGGTGAAAGAAACACCCATCAACGCAAGTCAGAGTAGTTGCTAAGCAAGTTTAAGAAAGTTTACCCTTAGGTAGATGTTATTTCCATCTAAGGGATGAATCAACATGAAAATATCAAGCAACACTGCAAGGTAAAATTTCTATTGAACATAATTATCAATTATCCTCCGGTCATCAACATCTTCAGAAGAGAAAAGGGCATCCACCTTAATTTATTCTTTGAATGATTTTCCTTGGCACTTCTGGTATGCATTTGAAACAAGTCAATAACTTCCAATGCAAATGTAATCATACTACTTACTCGTGTTTTGATATCCATGCATGCCCATCCCTGAATTCCATCCCATCAAGGTTTCTCCAGCATTCCCCTTCCATGCTGCTTCAAACCCAGGCAGCTCATCTAAAAGCAAAAAGATGGGGACTCATGAAGCACAAAAATAAGCATGAAAATTTGGAAATGTAACATTCATCTCCTTCCAAATTTTGTTATAGTATAGACCTTGATTTAGGTTATGCAGCGTCTGCATGGTACGCACCCTTCCATCAGAATTTAGCCTCCTAGTAAATGAGTGGCCCTGGGAAAAAAAAAGAAGAAGTACAGAACAAGATTAGAAGAGATCAAATTCTTATCCCAATCCCTTGAGAGTAAGATATCAGAGAATTCCATTTGAAGAAGTCGGAAAAGCACTTGCCTTATCATGAATACCTCTAGAAACTCTGTGAGCTGCCCTGCCGGAACTTGTGTCTGCTTCTTTGCTTTCTTCCACCACCACCTTCACAATAGTCAGCACAGTTGCATATATTAATCACCAGAAAAGATTGCAGATTCTTTTTTTTTTAAGTTTAATTAAATTTACCCCATCACCGCCCATCCTCCTAGTTGTGGAAGATGTGTAATATGTACCATCAATGCCACCGTATCTCATGGTTGAGCTGTGAAAGGTATATTTACTGGTTTGAGGTTTGCCACCAGAAGCGTTACGGAGCTCATTCTGATAATTCTGATACTCTTCAACTCCTGCAGTTGATAAAAACACAGCTAACATAGTGTTCTAAGAGCAAAATACATTACTAAGCCACAAAACTGTATGCTAAAAGAACAAACCTCTTGATTTCTCAGTTGGATCCTGAACATATACTTCCTTGCCAGATCTGAGAATCTTTTCAGGACCTTCTTCATGCTCCTTGGAAGTTTCATCAACATCTTCAGCATCATCAGACATCTCTTCAATTATTGGACCGGAAGGTCTATGCTGCTGCAAAGGCTGATCCTCCAGAAATTCAAAATTACTTCCATCTATATAAGGGTTTCTATGTGGACCAAATATGCTGTTCTCAAAAATGCTTGGGCCCATGATGTTTCTGAAGGGGTGAGTGGAAAAAGGATCAGTGAAAAAAGGGTCATCAAATGGACCTCTGCCACCAAAGAAACTTGATGACAAGCTCCTTGCTCGAGCAAATCCCCTATAGCTTGGAAATGAGTCCAGCAAACCAAAAAAATCATCCCTCCCACCTGTGCTGTTATCCATTGCCTGGTGAACCCTTTGACAAATAAGAGTGCAAACCAATATAACAATGATAGTGTAACAGAAATGAATGGAAAAATAGCCTTTCAAATATAAAACTAAATGTATAAATGCACTAAATTGAAAAAAGCAGAATTGCTAATGATGAATAAATACAAGAAGTTGCTCTAACACCTTGTGGCTGACAATGACCACTCGATATTTTGAAAGTATAATATGAAGGGACTCTTAAATTTAAATGTTCTACACAAGAGCATAATTCTTAAAAGCACCTCTCACAGTCAATCATATATATTATTAAAAGTAAATACTACATTGTTTTGAAAGTAAACTAGCAAGAAATTATTATGAACGTTCAAAGAATTAAGAAACCCTGAAGGGAGTTTCTAAATATCATCCTGAGATTTCTATTAGAAAAGTATCATCTCTTAGTTATAGCCCAAAAAAGCATATTAACATCAATATTTAATAAACCCTGAATGATCCAAATCTGAAGGCTCAGTAATCAGTTTCCCGGGTCTGTAGCTATAGCCGTCATGTTTCTCCTTCACGGATGCTGTAACTATCTGCAAATCTGAAGGCTTGGTAATTAGTTTCCCGCTACAGCCTTTCCATCTACAGGGAATTTCCAATGTTTCTCCTTCACGGATGCTGTAGCTATCTGCAATTTTAATCTTCAACGATCTCTTAGTTAATAGTGAATAGTCCAAAAAAGCAGCAGCAACAACAACAAAATCAAGCCATCATCCCACTACATGGGGTCGGCTATATGAATCCTTCCATCATGTCCTATTAAGCATCAAATTCTCATTTAAATCTAATAAAAAATATCATTTCTAATACTTTCTAACAAGCCTTTTTAGGTGAGAAATGGACCCCCACTCTTTGAGTCCTAACATCAAATTTTAGGATTAATAGTGTTAAATTAAGAGGTATTTTGATCTTTTTCAATTAAATTATTTATTGAATGAAATTTTCAAGTGATAGTATTTGAAAATATATATATATTAAACATTTATTTAATAAAAATTTTTCTAATGATTCTAGTCTATAATGATCCTAAATTAAAACTAGAATTATTAATATTTTTTTATTAAGGAAATGTTTAATAAAATTTTTTAAAAATATTTAGTATTACTTAAAAATTACATTTAACAAATAATTTAATTAAAAAATGACTAAAATACCCTTGATTTAACACCATAAATCTAAAAATTTAATTTTAGGACCAAAAAGATTACTTGGTCCCTCAAAAAAGTTGGGAACCATTTTGATCTGTCACAAAGAAGGGACCATTTTCATCATTTTTCTCCTTTTTAGGTCTATCTCTAACTTTCTTAATATAAGACAGATGTAATGCATCCACTCTCCTAACCTAGTCAACGAAAGATAGATGTTTTATATGACTAAATCATCTAAGACAACTCTCATTAACCTTATCTGCCACTAGAGGTACTCCAACCTCTACACTCCAAAAAAGCATTAACATTATCATTTACTAAGCCGTGAATCATGCAAATCTTAAGGCTTTCTTTCTTGGGATGGTAACTATAGCCAGTCAATCTAAAAGGAATTTCATGTGTTTCTCCTTCCAAGATATTGGAACTATCAGCAATTTCATTATTCAGCGTTTCCTTCAATGTCACCTTCCTTGCTCGTTAGCAGCCTTCCTCTTCGAATTCCTTCTGTGGTCTTTCCAAGTACTCAGCTCTCATCCTTTATTTATTGCCTCACGATATTCTCGTATAACTTGAAAACTGGGCAAAGTAGCAATTTAAACTGGAATTCAAGGGTGGTAAAGTTGAGGCTGGGTCTTGGAGAATTATCACTAATTACTCATTTTACAGCATAATATGACTAAGTTCAAGGCATGTAAAAACAGTAGATATTTTACATTCGATTATAGTTTGTGGGCGCTTCACAATTCTTGACTTACATATCAAGAACAAGTCAGTTTCGACTATCTTGAGTTCAAGATCTTCTACTCGGTGATTTCTATCCTTATTGTTTCTATTATTAACTTGTATATTAATTGATATATGTGCGTGATTGAAATTTTGTCAAATATATTACATATCAAATTTAATATAACATAGATGAGGTAATATAAACCATATAATGCTTTAAAATAAGAATTTATAAATGAAAATATGAGAAACCCAAATATTATTCCAAACTTTAATTATTTGGTTTGACTTTATTTCATTTTACTACTAAAGGCATGAATTCTTCTGTAATTTGTAAATTCAAATCCAACATCATACCAAGTAGATTTACTCATCTTGTCTTAAAAGCAATCTTAACAAAGGCATAATGTACAGTACTAATGTTGGATATCAAAAATTTCCAATACCTAAAATGATAGACTTTATTATAATAATTCAGAGAAGCATAATAATTTTACCCAAATTTGTATGATAAATATCAAATACTTAATTCCTAAGAACCAGATATTTTCAATCCACAAAATAATGCAAATATAAAAAATGGTAATTCACTTTCCCAAGATTGAGTTTAAGTTGAGTCCATCTACAAAAAGTTCATGTGTTTCTCCTTACGAACTAGAAGAGGTTTCATTCAACATTTCTTTTATTTCTGCCTGCCTCTTCAATTTCAATGTGGTCTTTTCGCTCTAGCATTGTGCTCTAATCGGATATTAATTTCCATCCATTTTCAACTTCAGATTGGAAACCAGTCTATAAAGGAATTGTTGAAATATGAATTTAAAGTAAAAAATTTGTTTTCTTTGTTGGAATTCAAGTTAAATGTTTATTATCTTCATAGAAATTTAAGTGTTGTGAATTGAAATATACAATAATAAGATAGATCTTGAAGGATTTTGAAGAATTACTTGTTTAGGATCCTTTTCAGATCATGAATATAACTTTGAGACATAAAATAATAGAACAGTATACGGTGAAATTAAATTCAAGTCTAGTTTGTGTTATTGGATATGGTCCAGATGGATTATTTGATCACTTTGAAAGTTTTGATGACTGGTTCTAGGGGATACGTAAGGCTGGATCTCCCACTATGTAATTGATATCTTTAGTTTTAATTAATTTATTTAGTGATCAGAACGAGTGTTGTTGCAATTTTGTAAAATTTCAAATTAATTCTCATTTTTTTGTGTAAAATTTCATATTTCGGCAACTGATAAATTATCATTAGAAATGAGATACGGGTGCTTTTTTTTTTTTTTACAAAGCAAATATATTAAGCAAAATTCAAGGAGGTTACAACAGCAAATGAACACAAAAAAAAAAAGAGAAGATAAAAAAACTACCAAAAAAGGGCTCAGTAAAAGGCCGATGCTCCTAGCATCCTAGAAGCCCCGTATGGACCATCCAAAAAGAGTCAGCATCGCCCAAAGTCCACCAATAAGAACTGTACCAATGGTTGCCACCAACAAGGCAAAAGGGATACGAGCCCAGCCACATCATTGCCCTATCAACCAGCGCACCACCAAATCGCAAAAACCAACCCGTAGAAACAGGGGATAAATACATTATACATAAAGGTTATCTTCTCCTTCGTCCCCTCCCACGGAATCTCCCACGAGAAGCAACTTAGATAACAGGCCTATCACGAACCAAAGTAAAATCATTTCCAGGGTCCGATCCTCCACAAATATCCGGAGAACCAAACCACAATTCGAAAACTCGGATTCTGATTCAAATTCAGACGAACCATTCAACCAATCCAAATGGTTTCGCATATCAAATCCAAAATTTTCCCCCAAGCGATTGACCAAAATATGCGTATCGACCAAATTAACAGGAACATCCACTAAAGTGTTAGAGCACACCGAATTTTCTTTCAAGTTATCCACTCACACACTATCAGCAATATTATCCACATTAACAAACGGATTGCACGCCGCCTCTTTACCTGGCGACTGATTTTCCGATACATTATGAACACCAGGGACCACCACACCATGAACCGGAGCAACCAACTCCACAGACAGCAAAGCCTCATTAACTTGCATAGAATTCAAAACCAGAGGAGCCACCACACACAAAGAATTATCACAATGATTCACAGAGGGAACCAAATCAACAACACCATCCGCAAGACCAATACCATCCAACAAGGGAATAAAAGGTATAGCATTAGGAGACAAAATAATAACAGCATCCTCCGAATTATTAGCAACAGCTTCCTGCACTAAAGTATCCTCCCTAGAGAGATTAAAGTTCACATCAACAGGCTCAATCAACTCCGGCTTCCCGCACGGGACATCCACAGGTTTAGAAACTTTTAGAGAAGGATGTAAAATAGGGCATAAATCCTTAGAATGACCTAAGGAATTACATTGCATGCAAAAATGAGGAATATCATCGAAATTTACAGTCTGAACATAGCCCGATTCCACAGAACCAACCCAAATCTTATCAGCATGTTTCTTGGTAACATCCATTTCAACAAGAATACGAGCCATAAAATCCTAGGATAAAAACGGACGGGAACCGGACACAGTAGCCATATCCGACTTGAGTGGGCGACCAAACAGAGAACCTAATCCTAAAAGAATCCTAGGAGAAAATAGATGAGGCCTAAGGAGGGGGAAAGAAACCCAGATAGGCACGATAGGAGAATCCACCTCAACATCCAAATTGGGAGACCATTTCACTACTTTCATATAGCAATTTTGAACAAAATAAGATCTATGTGAAAAAAATCCGGCAATAATCAAAATCATTCACCAGTTTAATCAAAACATTCCGGTGATTAAGCACAGTGATCGAAAAATCCCCTAACAACTTTAAATTGAAGCAAAATTTCCGAATAGCATCGACCGAAGGTCGTCTAGGTCGTCTACCCGGAAAACGACCAACCAAAGAAAATTTAAAGGGTGCAGCTAGCGACCGGACCTCTTCCTCAAAAATTAATAGCCGGCAAGCCACGATGAGAAGACACACTTAACTCAGGGAAGGAAGACGAAGAAATACTAGATAAAGCCTCCTTAAACGAAAGAGGCGCAGAAGCCCCAGTTAAAAATC